AAACTCTTCTACCAAAAATACAAATTATCCCAAACTAACGAAGTGATACATAAAAAAATAAATAAAAATAAAGAGTAAGCCAGCACATCACTTCTTTCTATCTCTCACACATACGAAAACAGCACATGTGCAAACAGATATGAATACAAGACAATTGGAAACACCACAAAATTCAAATCGTATATACATCACAACATAAGATGAGTATTCAACGTTGGAAATCATATGCCAACACATTCTCAAAGATTTCTCGTCCACTATGTCATTCATAGACAACCGTAAATCTATTTTTCTTTGATGGTTATGAAGATAACTTCATTATCTGCCCGACAAATATGGACTTGCATTTGTTCTCCCTTATCTTACGAAGTAGACCATGTGGTAACCAGCTAAGTCAAGACGAAGCAAGAGGCCAAACAACACTCAACTGTGGTTGGGCAATTAGATGAGGTTCTTGGGCACCTCCTCCAAAGTGGTTGGCCATCTCTCCTGGTGTGTTCCTTTGAAGTGATTCTTTCGAGGTAATCTCATCGGATGATGTTGAATTTTTGTTGATACATAAAAAATTTCGGGGTGATTATATTTAACATTTTGAGTTTTATTAATAGGTTTCGGCTAATATTTAATTAGCACTTCAAGTTTGGAACCAAATCAAAAGTTCGACCCCAAAACTTAATCAGGCACTGGCCCATTTGGTTGTTATAGCCCTTTAAACTGTGGAGTGTTAGACCAAATTTTGGGCTTCGCACATTTGTGTGGTTTACCAAACCAAGCTCTTGTTTGAGCCCCATTTTTTTCCATTAAAATGTATTCTTGAAAAATGATTTGACCTTATTTTAAATACACATTTTACAATAAAATAATGTTACTCGAAAGCCCAAAAATCTTTCTTCTTTTTTAATTATACATTCTCCATCATAACACTATTGCAAAATACTTTTTTGAAAAACAAAAAAAAAGGGCTCAAAGGATACACACACACACACATTTCTTTTTAAATTGTTTAAGTGTGGAAATTAAGAGAAATCGAAAGCAGCGGCCATATCTTTCTCCCTTTGTTTGTAAGCGGCTTTTGTTTAATCTTGTGTACGCTCTCTCTTCTCTTTGTGATGCTACCTTCACCTTCCTTTTGTGGGAAAAACATTTTGTGGATACATGGGCAATCTTAGTGGTATTGTTGGTTGAGCTTTATGGTGTTGGAGTAATCTTATGGTGGATTAAACTAAGCCATAAACATTAAGATTTCAAGCAACGTAACGGCTAAACATTATGATTAACACTTTGGGCCCAATGATGAAACCCAGTACTTGAGCCCAATTATGGAATGTGACCTGGCTACCTCCCGTTTGAGCATTCTCTCATTCTTCCTACAAAATTAAAGAAATTGGTAAGATTGTCTTTAAACTAGCAAATGGGAATGTACTGATCTTGAATAAGATCAGATATATAACTAACTTAAAGAAATTTTGATCTTTTTAGGTACACTTAATGATAAAGGTTTTGATACAATCATAAATAAAGGCATTTTGGAAATTTAAAAGAATTTTGAAAAAGTTATTCATGTTGAAAAATCAAATGGGATCTATGTCTTGAAAGCTTTACCCTTACTAAACCAGTTTTATTACTGTTACAGTTTCTCAATCTGACAAATCTGAAATTTGATACAAAAAACTTGGACATATTATTGATAATAATTAACATATTCTTAAGAAACAAGGCCATTTAGGAAATGAAAGGATTGAAAGAAAATCTTTTTGTGAACACTGTATCTACGGGAAGAAAAAGAAATTGCCTTTTGCTACTGGTATTCATAACTTAAAGTTTATTCTTGATTACTTAGATGCCGATCTGTGGGGACCAGTTACTATAAGTACTTATTATGGTTACAAATATTACCTCCTTATCATTGATGATAATTCAAAAAAAAAGTTCGATCATTCTTTCAAAAAATAAATCTGACACCTTCCAAAATGAATATCAAGTAAACAAAAATGTTAAAGTTCTTAAAACTGAAAATGGCCTTGAATTTTTCAATGAAGAGTTTGACAATTTCTGTAAATATAATGGGATCCTTAAACATATGAGTTGATCCACAACATAATGGGCGAGTAGAAAGGACGAATAAGACTTTGTTAGAAAATGTGAGATGCATGTTGATAAGCTCAGGTCTTCCAAAACTGTTCTAGAAGAAGCTGTTAAAACTACCTCATATTTAATAAATAAGTGTCCCACAAAATCATCGAATTATGATACATCCAATCATGTTTGGAAGGGTTATCCTATTGATTATTCCAAACTATAGGTTTTTGGTTGTGCTTCATATGTACACCAAAATGAAGGAAAACTTGAGCCCAGATTTGTTAAAGGGATTTTCTTAGGATATGGTGAAGGTGTCAAAAGTTATAGAATCTGGTTGAAAGATCCGGGAGGCTATAGAGTCATAATAAGTAGGAATGTTATCTTCAATGAGATGGACATGCCCTGTACTGAAGAAAAAAAATTGCTACCTTTGAAAATGATCAAAATAGATCTTTTATACAATCTGAACTTTTTCCAACTAATTTAAATCCTGGAAATAACGATCAAATTGAGGTGGACCCTATCCAACAACAAGATACTGTTATTGAACCTAAACCTGGACCTGTTATTGAACCTTTATCTGATCTACTTGTAAATCCCATAGAAGATTATCATCTAGCGAGATATAGAGTAAGAGGGGGAAATAAAACCACCATAAAGATAGGATGAAACCTAATTCTGTTACTGCACTTAATGTTCAAAATTTTTTAGACAATGAGCCTAACTCCTACGATGATGCCATTAGAGGAAAAAAAATGCAAGTTTCTGGCTTGCAGCCATGGAAGTTGAAATGCTTTCACTAGTTAAGAATAAGACTTGGGTCTTAGTCAGTAAACCAAAATGGCAAAGGGTTATTGATTGTAAATGGGTTTATAAGATAAAATAAAGGTGAAAATGTGAGCTTCAAGGCAGATTAGTTGCTAAGAATTTTAACCAAAGAGAGGGAATTGACTACAATGAAAATTTTTCTCCTATAGTCAAATATACCTTTATATGGATCTTACCTTCTCTTTCTTTACAACTCGATTTTGAATTGGAAAAAATAGATTTGAAAACTGTCCTCTTGCATGGAAACTTAGATGAAAAAATCTACATGACTCAACCAAAAGATTTTGAACAAAAAGAAAAAGAAAACTGTGTGTTTTTCACAAAAATCACTTTGTGGTATAAAACAAGCCATTAGATAATGGTACATCAGGTTTGATACTTTCATAAAATGACTTAACTTTAATAGAAGTGAATATGATCCATGTTTCTATTATAAAGGTAATGGAGGTCCTGGTTCCTATTATCTTTTGTTATATGTTGATGAAATGTTACTTCCCAGGTGTGATGTAAATAAGATAAATAATATTAAGTAAAAGTTAAAACAAGAATTTGAAATGAAAGATATAGGTTCTGTAAAAAGGATTCTAGGAATGGAAATTAGAAGAAATAGCGCTTATGATAGCCTGTTTCTTACACAACAATCATATGTATATAATGATCTGTACCAAACCTGACCTTGCCTTTGCTGTAAGGTTTTTAATTAGATACATGAATAATCCTGGTGAATGTCATTGGGAAGCCATGAAATGATTGTTAAGATACTTAAAATGAACATCTAACTTAGGGCTGATGTTTAATAGAGGTAAGGCTGGAATTAAACTAAAAAATTTTGTTAATTCAAACTTTGTTAGTAACTGTGATAATAGAAAGTCTACATCTATTTACTCTAAATGATATCTGCATAAGTTGAAAATCTTAACTGCAAAATATTGTAGCTCTATCATCAACAGAGGCTGGATATATTGCAACCATAGATGCGGTGAAGGAAGGTATATAGCTAAAAAACTTGTTGGACGAAATTGATTTTTCTGGTAATAATGTTGTTATATGATTTGACAGTCAATCTGCTATATATCCTTATGTAAATTAGTTAACTTGCCATCAAATAGTCTCTTTAGCAGTAATATTACTATCATATCAAAACATATTGTTTTCCGTTGACTTCTAAATTTTAAGAGGAATCCAAATCTATGTTTTGATCTAAACAAAACAAAAAGAAACTAAGAAATTTAATGGTCTGAACAAAAGAAAAAAGTGAAAAACAAATTAAAGTACATGGTCATTATTTCAACAAGAACACGTATATATAAACATACATACATGGTCTTGTTGAACACTGAGTAATAAATTTTATGCTTCTTGATGAACGACACAATATTCTTTTAAAATATTCATATTCATAACGCGTATACTTCTTTTCAATCTTAATAATATTTTAATAAATATTGATATTTAAGATTGTGTTGTACGAGGAACAACAATGTACTCTTCTACTCAAATATTTCTTCTAATATAAAGTGCATTCTACAAGAGCGACAACATATTACACATCTTAAATTTCTTTGTTATCAAAATCACGTCATCAAAATTATCATAGTCGATTATCAGCCTTCCCTTGTAGAGAGAAATTTTTTTTCTAGCTCATTAGCTAAATATTCGTGTTGATAATATATTATAAAACTAAATGAAAAAGAAGGAACAATTGAAGAAAAATAAGAGTATAAACTCAATTATGTATTTCATTATAACAATATATATATATATATATATATATCTAGTTCATTAGCTAAATATTCGTGTTGATAATATATTATAAAACTAAACGAAAAAGAAAGAACAATTGAAGAAAAATAAGAGTATAAACTCAATTATGTATATATATATAGAATACGCTTTTCTAAAATAAATAGGAAAGTCATCTAAACTTATAGATTATCAACTATTCATTCAACATCCTAATAACACAATATCTCTTTATGATTTGTAATAACTTAAATAAAGCATGGACATTGGGTTTGGTGATTACTCGAATAATAACAATCTCTTTTTTATTCCCGTTAGTTTTATGAGCATACAATTAAGTAGCCAAATCCTAAAAAATTGTGAGGATCGTAATATTGAATAAAATTCAACGAAATAAACTATGAAGATGGAACTAGAAAGGCGCCGATTAATAAACCGACTATAGGCTTCCTAGTACATGTTTCTTGCCTGTGAAAGCTTGAGATTTTTGCTCTTTTCTCTCTTGGAGTTTGAAGTCATTCCTCGAGTCATCTGATAATCTCTCCAAGCCGTTGGAACCAAAAACAAGCTTTCCAGATTTCTTGCCGCCAACACTGGTGGTTGACGCCGAAACCGCACCTGATCCGCCGGAGCTGCCACTGGTGGTCGGCGCATTGTTCTCTTGAGTCTTGCTGTTAGCCACTTTACCGTCTACAGATTCCCCGTCCAAGCGTCTCCCCTTGCCTGTGAATGGCCTAAATTTAATCTGTTCTTCAGTCTCCTCCTCTTCTACTTTTTCTGGAGCGTTCTCTTTGACTTTTTCCGGTTTTTCAGGTTCTTTATAGTCAAGAGGAGCAGCAAAATCCACTTCACAATCCGTCTCTATGAGACAAATTGCAGGGCCCGGTTTCGTTTCCAAAACATTAATGTAAAACTTCTGGTTATCATGAGTGACCATTATGGTATCCCCGGTGCTCAAACAAGAAAACCTGCGCAGAGTTTTTTCAAGAACAGCTTTTGGGTTTAAGAGTTGGATGAATTTTGTTGAATGCGGCTGCAGTTTCAAGAAATTTCCAGTCGGAAGCAAGGCGCTTTCGACCAGTACTAGCTCTCCTTCTTGTAAATTCAAGTTCTCCATCATCCAATCCGGCACCTTGATAAATCCCTCGTCCGCGGTGAATTCCGAGATGCCGCAGTGAGAAACGTGCCCTGGATTGTAATATGGTTTAATCTGAAACATATATGGATGTGGGATATTCCTGGCCATCAATGCATGAAGGGCTGATTCGGGCATCACAATTTTATCGCCACATTCGAGTTCAGATTTTTTGGATTTGGAGAAAGAAGTACAACAATATGCTTGCTCGAACCCGAGTTGACCCCTGGAAAATCTGTCGTCCATGTTAAGTAACTGAAGAAGTAAAACCTAAGCCCGGGAATTGAACAAAAAGCTAAGATAAATTGCTTAAAGAGTGCTAATTCAGGTTTTGGATATAAGTATATATAGGGTATGCATGCGTGTTTCCGTGAGGGATAAGGAGTCCAATTTTTGGAATATACAAATTCCTTAACTATTTTGAACTAGGAAAAAATAAAATCCTTCGGGGTTTAGGAGTCTAGTTTTTGGTATATACAAATTCCTTTCCTATTTAGAACAAGGAAAAAAGTAAAATCCATGATGAATATATATGGTAACTTCTAATATATGGAAACAGAAAATCCACTAGCAAAATATATGGTAACTTTAACAAAAAGTTACAAGTTAAATAAACACATGGACAATGCTTGCATAGTCTAGAATTTGACGGCAAGAAAAATTTTGAATTGGTTTTTTTAAAAAAAAAAAAATCACAATTGTCGTGAAAAAGGTAGGGTTTGAAAGTGCACGGTAGTAAAATGAGATCAAAATGTCAATATTTATGGATGTCTCGTATTGGATTCTCAGAAGGAAGGGACAATTATGTAAAGCATCACTTGAACATGAGTGGATCTATTACGTAAGGGACTCATAGATGTAAAGCCCAAATATATACTAAATGGGGTAGATTTTTGCATCTAATTTTTGTTGGAATTTTGTATCAAAAATTGGTTGTGACCAATTTTAAATGATTATTTAAGTGGAATTCCTTATTTGGTGAATGAAAAATTAAGCCAAAAGTAAACCGCTTAAATACTCGAAATTATTGAAAATCATATAAAATATTGTGGAATATTCTAGAAATATATGGATGAAAAGATGTGTCTTTTCGTATGAAGGATCATGAATACGGGTACGATTAATTTCCAATAATTATGTCTCTTAATGAGATGTGTCTTTTGATATGATTGTGTCTTTTGACATACATTTCCAACCACTATATATTGACCTCATATATTTGGATGTAATCATTCAGAAATTCAAGTCAATAAATAATTACATATCATTCCATTACATGTCTCCTGTTTAATTTGCATTAAACACTTGCATCGAAGTCATGATTATAGTAGAGAGAGAATTCAGTTCGAGTTCGTTGATCTAAGTCATTTGGAGTGTTCCTATGGCTAGACGTGGTCTTTGTATTTTGAAAGATGATTGTCGAGAAAACCGTTAGCATCGATGCGGGACAAATTCATCTTAAGGACAAAGTGTTCCACACTTACCTCGGTCGAAAATCTATCGCTTGCATTCTCTTGTTTCATTTTCTAATTTATTTGATTATACTTTGATTTCATAAAAAAGATTAACTTTATTTACATGTTTATACTGCAAGGTTCGATCTTAAGAATGACATGTTTTCATTCAAGAATCGAAAAGAGATTAATCAATATTCATACATTCAGATTCGGTAACTATTATTGTTTTGCTTCTCAAATTCATTTCAGTAAGTCGAAATTACGTTTCGATTTCACGCAAATAAATGGCATGAATATAATATGCACAATATCAGTAAAATTTTCCAACAATTTCTTCATACTATAAGGTTTGGTTGCGCATCTTTTATCAACTATAGCTTTTGGAAAAGTCATTACATGCATAATCATAATGATTCCTAGCCCTTTCTACATAACACGAGGCAAGTGCATGAAGATGAGTAAGTCACTTTTAGTGCCTAGGCACCACAAAGCAAAGAGGTGGAACCTAGCGATGCCACTTCTCTGGAGAATTTCACACTGCACATATTTTTTTATTTTTATTTTTTTGTATTTTTATCATAACCTTCTTTCCTGATGCCCGATTGAGACAATTCAAATTGGGTTGTAAAGATAACTCAAATGGCTATAATATAATTACAATAGCTCTTTTCCAATTCGAACGTTTACTAGGCCAAAAATGGGTCTCAATCTCCTGTTGAAAAATCAAAAACATCCTTGTGTGGTTGAAAATTGATTTGTGAAAATATTTTTGCCGTATTTCACTCCTTTTGACTTCTAATTGCATCTAATTGACTCCTAGCATTCCCAAATCTTCATTGTGACATCCTACGCAACTTTTGAATAGTTACACTTTAGTCCCCAAACTTTGAAACTTGCCCTTTTTTCCAATTTTCATTTCTTTCTTTCAATTCCAATTCCATTCATTGAGTTTCACCTAATAAATAAAATACACAATAAATAGGGCTATAATTGTTCAAAAGAACTACTAAATGTCTATATTTTTATGTCCAAATAAGTTTATAAGATACACTTGTCAATTTTTTTGCTTCTTGGAATACAAGGAGATTGGGGTGCCACCCCAGAAAACAAGATATGCTAAACTAGAGGGATCATCATGATTCCTAGCCCTTTCGACACCATTGAAGACCGTAAGTCAAAGATACATTGTTTGCTTAAGAAAGTACAATGGTAAATAGTATGTTTTAGGCACGGAGTATGCATTTCTCAGAAGTTCAATGAGTTTCGAATGGGCAATGCACAAAAGTCGAATCGCTTATTAACAACAAATGATATATCTAGCACGTTATAGACATATTTGAGTGGACCAACATTTGGATGTAAAGAGTCGCGTCGATGAGAGGAGGACTATCACAAAGAAGAAGAGATTGAGTGTTGGATGATGAATTGAAATTGCAACTGTACTCAATTTTATTTAGTGTCTTTATAATTTTTTATTTATATCATTTTACTACCTATGGTCTTTCGTTTATACACTATAAAATCAAACTATTGTAAAATATACAAATTTTTTTTAATATTACTTTTTTTAATTTTATAATTTAATTTTTAACACTATATATATGTTGTAACCCAATATGTTACACAATTTGTTTCCTCCTCCTTGTAACCATTGCCACTAATTGTAGCAAATTGTGTTACATTTGTAACACTCAATCTTCTCATCATCATTGTCATCACCGATGCCACAACATGTTACCCACGTTGTTATGTTATCAACGTCACAACCACTTATATCCTACCTTGTTACACTCGTCATCGCAACCGTTACAACTACTTGTAACATACCAAGTTACACTACTATTGTCGTTACAATCACAAATTCTTTTGCTTACTTTTTATTGGACAATGACATACAAAATGTAGTGAAATTTCTTCAAGCACCCATTTAGCCTACGTCCTACAGAATTTATAATTATTTATAACTAATCAAACTTCATTTTCAACCGCACATTCAAATGGGTCTACCATACTATATCCATATTTATGCGTGTTAACTTCAATTTACATAGTAATTTCTCTCGAGTAAAATAAATCCTATTTACTATGTCTTTACGTAAGTTCTGATACACATAAACACATTTCATCATGAGACCGCAATTAAGATTTCATAAGATATAAGAGTACATATAAGAGTATCTCTTGATCTCATATCAAAGTCCATGTCACTTACTAGCTATATACACCTCTTAGTATTAATATAGTCCCTAAATTCACCAATTGGTGTCCAAGAAATTGAATTAAATTTAGTATACAAAAAGTAATTAACACAATATAGACATGGACATGAATTTGTTAAATTAATTAAACGTCAATAGACCTAAGCTGTATCATTCATCCTGACAATTAAAGAATTAGCCATTCATAATAGCAAAAAGCACAAAGAAAAAATAAAGCACGTCACTAGGTTCAATTACCATGAAAAGACAAAAGGAATAAAAACAATTGTTACATTCATCCTAACAATTAAAGAATTAGCCATTGATCAATTCTTGTTTCTTTTCATCTTTTTATATTCAGTATCATTCTCTTAAAATAATCAATAATTACACAAAACTAAGTATCTAAAATATGAAAGCACTTCCACATGCCTACTTTTGGTGGTTTGGATAAGTGTAAAATCACACTTTTTAGACAACCCAAGCTTCAACCTTTGTTCATCCTTGAATAAAGGGACTCAACTAAACAATAAACACATATACTAAACTAATATATGTTATTAAATTTTTTTTTTCAAAGTGAATATCTAAATTTCAAAATTCAAAAAAGTTAATAAAATACAAGAGTCAACGGTTACTTCACATATTGTATACTTAGCTTTTGAGTGTGCACATATTAATCATTTTCAATTCCGTCAATGATACTTGTATCAAGTCATGCACTTCAACTTTCAAAGTACCTTATCCCAGTCAATATCAAATCGAAAGTGTGTCAATATAATTTCTCATCGCTTGTACTCTCTCTTGGTTTTTCATTTTTTTCCCTAAATGTGAACTAAACAAATGAGATGGAGTTAATTTTTGTCATTAACTTAACCACTCTCCAAATCCCTGATCGATGAGCAAAAAATATTCGACAAAGAAAATTATAGTTTTTTTTGCCACCGCTTCAACACACTTTGATGTGTTTTTTATTTTTCCCTTATTTTATTTTTGGGATCTTTTGATTTTCAAAAGTAGTTTTCACTCTACAGCAACATTATTTTTCGATAGGCTGTCTTCTAAACATTGGTCATGAATAGAGCACAATTATTCAAGACTAGCTTGACATGACAATTTAGGTTACTTTAGTCTATGTTTCATGAATAGTGCAATGTCTTTTATATTTTTGGACCTATGAGAAGGATTGAAGAATGATCAAGTGAAGTATTCACCTCAAACTTATTCTAAATAGGGTTTTCAACAAGGATCTAACTGCTTACTATTGTCTCAAAAGATTTTAATGTAGTTGACTTACATAACTAAGTTAAAAGTTAACCAATCAAGAATGTAATCGTGCTCAATTGTTCATAAGTCGAGTATTAAATATTAATGGAATTCAAGTAATAAATGAAAAATAAAGTGTTAACACGAAGCAGTCCAATATTTTTTCCCATAATTGGATGTGAATTCCATATTCAAGTTAAGTTTCACACACAATCATGTAAAATAAGATGGGAAAATATTTATTTATTTTCCAGAAATATTAAACTTAGATTATAAACACAAGTAATACAATAATGTTGACTCCATTACACGAAATATAAATTATATTACAAGATAGCGAAATATTTTTCATCCTAAATTTAATTTATACATTGTCCTC